TGGAGCTGTTGGATTTTAAATCAGTCCACTCCAAGTAAATCTTTTTTCTATTACCTTTTATACTACATTGTGTTACTGTTGCTTTTACGATGATCACTGATATTATATAAGGTCCTGGTTATTTATTGTGAAAAATTGTGAGATTAGCACACTTTCAATGCATCTTCCTCTTAGTAAATCTTTTATTTTGTCGAAATCATTTAAGTCAAAATTGTGTTTGGATGTATTGCATACAGTTTTGTCTTTCATTCCAACCTGAAGAAGTCGAAACCAACAGGCATCGGCAAAATACATTGTTTATAAGCTTTTTCACTTTGTCTCATCATCTCCACTTTTGTTTTGAATACTTTTATACAAGGTGCGATTGTCACCATTTTATATTTTTTAATTTGCACGTTGTTTATTTTTGATTTTGTTGACTGAACAGCATAGAAAGATCAGTTGGGCACTGTCTGTAAGAAAAAGAGTACGATGACACAATTCACTCACCCAGAAATTTGGAAGCGACATGCTGTACTGCTTGGCATTCGCGTCAAAAGATTAGTGATTACGAAGGTATGGCAGCTTAGAAAACTTACTCTGACATTCTGATAAAAAAGAACTTCCAAATTTGATGGTAAGGGATTCAACATGGAGGCGTACATCAAGTGCCTTGAGGAGGCAGTGCTGTCAGTGGATTAAGAGGGTGGAAGATATTATGTCTGGCAACATGACTCTGTACTATGCCACACAATCAGGAGAACCCAGTCATGACTATTAGACAATTTCTGCGACCATATTACCCCTTATATCTAGCCAACTTTACTCCCCAGATTGCAACCCCTTTGATTATTATGTATTAGGATGCAGATGAGTGAGAGACCAAGAAAACTTCTTGTAACACCAAAGATGAACTGAAGACAAGGATTATGGCAGCATTCACCAAATTAAACAAGGCGACTGTCCAGAAGAGTTGCAGGAGATTCCAAAGTCGTCTGGAGGCCGTGGTTGGAGCCAACGCCGATTTTATTGAATAAATTTACTTTTTAGTATTTCAAGATATTTTTGTGTAATTTTGATAAATATATCTGTTAATGAAATGTCAGTGTCATTTTCATGTCATTTGGACGACAATTTATCCCTCGCACCCTGTACATCCTGCAAACACACATGTTGTTTGTAATTAAATTATTATTTCCATATTATTTGTAATTAAAGTCTATTATTTTTTTGTTAAAACAGTTTTTCATGAAAACAAACTTCTCACGACCACTAAATGTTATCACTCTTTCTAGTACTGATGCGGGTTTCCTTTCAAGCCTTTTGCTTAAAGTAGTAGCATCTGCTACAGGGGTTAGCTAGCCACCCTAGTAGATGGGTGTATTCGGAAATGAGTATCTATGCATTCTATATAATTTATTTAGTTTTATTTATTTGTAATAATAGGAGTGGCTGTTTTAGTATACTTGATAGCTAGCTAATCTAGCAAGGCATACGATGTCGTTTCCATGACTCTTGTAAATATCTATTAGAAATTATTATTATTACATATAAGTAGTTGTACTTATGTACAACAAGGTTTACTAAAACATTACATGAAATGTAATCTTCCATCTGTTGATTCTCAGACAAAATTAAAATAAATAATCAGAAAGTATTCTGTTCTACATGTAAGTAAATAGTAAAAACTTTTTGTCATTGAAAAAGACCAGAAGACATGCGTTGAATGGATGTCATCATTCATTTGAAAAAGTACCCCTACCCTAGCTTGGCTTAACCTCTTTTCGAAAGTAACTCGTATTTTAATACAATATTTGTCAGTGAAAAAGAATACCCTACCACCCCTTGTTAAAATGATTGGATTTCCCTGTATCCATAGAAACTAATATTATGAATGTATGTGCTTATAAAACTCAGTAAATTTCAAAATAAGTTATTCCAAAAATCACTTGAAAATGTAACAGAACTAGGGACTTTAATTTAATTCTATAATTGAATCTGAAGTTTTTTGCTTCTGTTTTTGAAACATGGTAATTCTTATGTAGTGATGGAACCATATTTTTAAATTAGTAAATTTATAATCTATATATATATATTTGTGTGAATGTGTGTGTGGTTTCTATGTTAGATATGATGACTGCAGTATAAAATTAATTCATCAATTCTGATTTGATTCAACTGTCCATCTCCTTATATGCTAACGAGACAAAAAAATCCGTTTTGAAATTGCCACTTAGTTTCTGATCATTTCATCAGCTGGGAACTCATATCTCGGTTGGGAACTGATTTTATCTCTGTCAGTCATGTCCTTGTTGAGATCATACCTAATTTAGTTTGAGGAAAGGGGAAATAAATATGACATCATAGCCTGGAAAATTCTGAATTTTTATCTATTTTCAGAGACGCCAAAACTTTGACCTCCTTGTTATTTATTTATTTTTCTTTCATTGCAAAGTAAAAATAGTTTTTAAAAAGAAAACAAATAAAAATTATCAGGTTTTTAGGTGAAACGCATAAAAGCAAAAAAACAAAAAACAAAATGAATACTAACAAGAAACAAATTTTATATACAAAATGTCATGGTTACAATGAGATACATACAGAAAAAATAATCTAGCTTACAAGATGAAACAACAGAATTCCATTATGAAATAAGATGTATATTGTTAGTCAATATTATTGCTTAAGTGTTGATAGGTACTTAATTATTTTTGTACACTTTATTGCTGGTGAGTAGATTTACAAATTACAGATTTGTTTTTAATCATTTTTTTTTTCATATTTTTTGCTGTACAAAATGAATAAATGAAAGTCACCAGTTGATTGAAATACTTTTCCCAATCAACAGTAGAAAAATAAAAAATATTTTTTTGTGAGAATATTTGAAGTTTGCTTGAGTCATAAGTAATTTTCAATATTTGGAACCAATTTTAATGATGAACTTTTGGAGCAAATTTTAATGTTGAATATATCGTCCAAACTACTAATAACACATGTTAGTTAAGAATGTATTTGGAGCCTCACCAACATACCTCAGCATTTGTCAGGCATGGCAGCATACACAGTGAATGAAAGGAAAGAAATATTTTTCTCCTCTATAACAGCGCAAGGTCGCAGACAGCAAAAATAACACAAGAAAAAAATTTAAGACTCAGTAGGACCCTCCTAACCCACCCGCCATATTCACCTGACCTTGCACCAGCAGGCTAGTACCATTTTTGAATGCTGCAAAACGTTTTGATGGATGAAAACTTTCTCTAATGAAAATGAGATTTTGTCAAAAGCTTTTTTCACATCAAAACCTATGGAATTTTACTCAAAATGTCTCAAAGAGCAGCCTGATATGTGGCAACAAGTTATTGCAAATAATGGTGAATATATAACTGAAGAAAATGTAGCTGTGCTTTATTCTTTGAAAAAAAAAATAATTAGGAAGTTGATAAATAGAAATGAAAATTGTTTATGACTCAACATAATAGATTAGGATATCAAAAACATATTAATACAAAATGTCAGAAAAAAAAAGAAGAAAAGAAAGACACCATCAAATTAAAAAATGAAACAATGGAATAAAAAATAATATGAATAAAAATCGCAGGGAGTTGAGGGTTTGCTTTTATAGCAGAGATAGTTAAAGATTTATCACCGGTGACAGAGATTGGTGGTTGTGATATAAGTTTAATGAATTCTAAAGCAAGAAGGTACTCTTCACCTGGTTATTGGGCTGTACAAAAGTCTCCTTATATACACATATCAATCTGTTATATGATAATATTGGTCACATTACTCCTATTCAAAAGACTAAGGAGGAGTGTGAACTGGATGATAGGCAAACCTATCTACTCCTATTTATAATACATTTATAATATAATATAATATATATATATATTTTGTTATATATATATATATATATATTTTTATATATATATATATATATATATATATATATATATATATATATATATATATATATATATATATATATATATATAAAATATTTTTAAGGTATGATATATTTATGGGTAAAAGTGCTCAATATCAGGATAGAGCATACGTAAATATGAAAGTGGACACTGTGGTTATCACTGAGTGGCAACAGTCTGTTTCAGGCTTGAACACAAGCTCCAAGCAATATATATATATATATATATATATATTTTTTTTTTTTTTTTGAAAGGATTTTTTAATCATATATTATTTCTTATTAGTATAAACATTATTTTAGGCTTGAGTTGGTATCCCTGTTTTTTTTTTAAATGTAATAGAATAACAAATGACTTTGCAATCTAGGCCAGTTGTTATCATTTTGACTGTTTAATAAACTAAAATAAACATTATATATATATATATATATATATATATATAGGAGAGTTGAAAATAAACAAGCATCCATTTTGAAAATTTCATAAACAGTAAATAGACTGTTAATGGGTGAAGAAATAAGAAATATTTGATGTATATAAACAAACTTTTTAAAATTAAATTATCAAGGTTTGTCTATATAATTTTTTATTACATATTTCCAATTTTAAAATAAGTTTTTGCATATCAAGATCAAAATTCTGGATTCTATCAAACAAACTGCTACAGTTGATGATGCTAAATGCTTTCTAAAAGAGACTAGAATTTTAATTTTCTGAAAACGAATTACTAAGCACTGATCTCTTCAGATTTTGTCTCCTCATTTGAGATGTTATTGTCACAACACTCTTTTTTTTAATTGCCAACTTCAAGTACATATTGTATGTAATTATGTTGTGGATATTTAAAAACTAAACTCCTTGGATGGAAGTAGATTGCTTACATTCCACTATCAATGATCTGAGATGTTTCAGATTAATTTATTTTTAGGTAATTTATCTTTTATTTTATATTGCACAACTGGAACTGAAATTGTAATTATCAAATAACTAAACGTAACTGATTTTTATCCAGTCGGACATGGTTCTGAACAGATCTGGGCATAAAATGATCAGTCTCTTGTAAATTTAAAAAAAAAAATTTAGAATGTCTGTTATATGTTATACATGTGTTATTGAGAGATAGCTACCATCTGGGTCTTTGAGAAGATATTTTGAAGGGATAACTTGCATGTAAAAATAGGCACCTTTTTGTAAGTGTAACACAATTGAATACTGAAGGGAAAAACGGCTGAAGTTTTTAGGCAGGGTCTTCTTTGTGTAAATAGATTCCTCCTCATTTGCATAAAATATAAGAAGAGTAATAACGTTGACATTCTGGGAATTAGTTTGCATAAGCAAAGAACAAGATATGTGGAAGAACCCGTCCTCGTTGACATGAATATGTGTGCTATTGATCTGCATGAACGGACTCTGAGAATGTTCTTCAATCAGCCTCCATTTTATTGTTTCTTCTCTTTCTGGAAAAAAAAAAAAAAAAACAGGTCAAAATATATTCATGAATAATAATTTGAAAATGAAAAATACAAACCACAACAAGGTGAATTTAATTGGATTTTTTTTCTGGAATGAGAAGTTATTATTGGCAGTCAGACTAATATCACCATCTGTTATATAGAAAGACTATCTAACCTTCTCTACATTTATTATTGAAACATGGACTCATCCATCCACTATAATTAGAATGTCTGCTCATTGAACAGTGGTAAAAATCGGGTTGCAAAGGTGTAGCACTTTTCTGTTGTATGTTTGCCTCATGGATCTACTGTATTCTCAATTCATGTTCTCAGGTGATTAAACCCATCTTCACTCAACATTTCATTTCAGTGTTTTCTTTATGGTCTTACTAACTAGTAACTATGAATGTTATACAAATAGTCCCCGGTATGACGATAAATTATGTCCTTCAGCAAGGACCCTAATCAAGAAATTGGAGATTTTGAAGAGTGTAGAACCACCTCATGATTGCTGTTGTTCCCAGGTCCACCCTCACCTGGGGTGGTAGCACCTGTTAAGGTCCCTGCTATGGGCACACCTCCAAACATCAAAGCACTAGGAAAGTATAAAATTATATATGTGTAGTAAAAATACCAGCAATACATTTTTATTACAAAAAATGACCAACAATACATTTTTATAATAAAATGACCAACAATACTTTTTATCATCTACAAACTTTATATCTAAAAAAAAACACACACTTGCTGTCAAAGTATAAAGTTCTGCATCAACCAACCAATAACCCCATAGATGGAATAAAGAGTACAGTTTGAAATTCCCTGAAGATTACCTTGATGAAGACCGAAGGGCAAAATGGCTGAAACATTGTGATAATAGCAACAAAGATAGGTATTATAAAGTTTGTATATCATTTGATTGGTCGATTGATACATATAGCAAAATTAACAATGACACCTTCAGGCACCAGGTAATGAGCATAATTCCAGCCTGGGGGAGTGGTACCACCTGGGGAGAGGAGTGAGCTTTTTTTGTCAGGTTTTGGTGATTGATTAGAAAAGATGATATTCTAATTTACTCCTTATTTATTTTTGTATTCATGAATTAAAAAAAGATTTTTTTTTTCATTGAAAGAAAGGCATGTGTATCCTGACAAAACCTCCTTCAGTTAAAGAGCTAAGTCAGGACAAATCTACATTTTAATATCCCTATTTAAATAAATAAATGATACATTTAGTTGACAACATAAATACTTCTTGGACCTTTATGGTATGATAAATCAATTGTTATTACTAAACTTGACAAGGGTGTAGGTTTTTTGTTTAATTTTGTTTAGCAGCTTATCAACCTCCATGGGTTATTTAATACCAAAATCTAAATATTCTGTCAGTCCTGGGTGTAATGAATAAACTACACCTAGCAAGGCTTCTGATCAAGAGATTAGAGCTTTCAAGGAGCATTGAAATATCTCTTAATTTCTGTTGTTCCCAGGTCTGTCATGACCAGGGGTAGTAGCACCTGTTAGGGTCCCAGCTATGGGCAAATTGTGAACCCCCAAACAAAAACAAAACATTATGAAAATATAAAAATACATTTTTATCATAAAATTACCAACAGTACCTATTTATAATAAAATGACCAACAATCCATTTTATAGCAAAATGACCAACAATAAATATTAACTGTAGTTGAGTGCATACAATTGTGTTCAAAATACATGTAATTGAAGCCATAAAATTGCATACTAATTACTTTGATTTTGGTATTAAATAAGCCATAAAGATTGATGTACTGCTAAACAAAATCAATCAATCGACCAACCAAACGATATACAAACTTTATAATACCTATCTTTGTTGCTATTATCACAATGTTTCAGCCATTTTGCCCTTTGGTCTTCATCAAGGTGATCTTGAAGGAATTTCAAACTGTATCCTTTATTCAATCTATAGGGGTGAATTGTCCTTGTTCCACTGTCCATGTCTAGGGATATTTGGTCTTCTTCTTTTTTTAGTACTGCTCAGTTACTGTTAGTCCTGTTTAGTTTAGTCAATTAAAGCATTGGTTTATTAATTTAGTAGCATGGTCACTGTGAGTTCAATCTTTGGGCTGGGTAGTACAGACTTAGATTCAGTGGAAACAGAAATTGCAATAACTATTTTTAAAATCATTTCACCACCAAGTAAGGCAATAAAGCCACTAAGACACAGGAGTTACTGAATGTGAAAGAATAAAGAAAAAAGAAAACATTTTTAAGAAGAGAGAACAGTAAAATAACAAGAAGTCAGAAGGTAAACACTGACAGTGCATTTAAAGCTTTGCAGATCAAAGTTGACTGGAAATCGGGATGCCAGAAGACTTTCCTAAGTGAGAAGCGCAAAGAAAGAAATTCTTAGCATAGAATTTATGGTTTTATCTTGCCATTTCAAATGTAAAATGATAAGATACTGATGTCAATCTAGTCATTTAAGTGCCATATGTGAGATGCGCTTGAGCAGTTCTTTTACGAATCATAACTGACTAGGCAGAATATTTTCCCACAGCAGGTTGTTGTTTCTTTCTGCTCTAGATTGGTTGCTAAGCAAGGCTGTAGAACCTAATCTGTCCAGTTATTCAACCCATAACTAGGGGGAGAAGAAACAGATTCATACCTTTCCCAAGGGTATTTGTGTGTAAGTAAATATAATGAACCCAACTGGAATTTGAACTCTGCTCTCTGATTTCTCATGCCCAGCCATTAACCATACCTCACATCCATCAGTCTTGTACTCTGCATAAAGTTATAACATCTAGGTACCATAGAGGAAAGTAATATTTATTTTGAATAATGCTAAAATGTGGCACAAGGCTGAAGAGGGTGAGAGGAAAGTCTGGGTTTCAATCTGTCTCGTCTTAAACTTAGCTAGCCACAATTACTGACCAAAACAAATATATCACAGTATTCCTTATACCAAAACAATGCATTCTTACTTACCATTCTGACTACAGTCACCATAATACCTCAAAATCTCTATGTAGTCTTAACTAGTTCCCATATGTACAATTTGTCTGGGGGGGGGAATAAAAATAACAACATTTAAAAATGAAACCATGATGAATATTTACAAATAGGAAAGTTCATCGGAACAGTTAACATAAAAATATTTATAAGAAAGTCACAGGGAAGCTATGTTACGGCACTGGGAAATAGACTGAATCTGAGATGCCAGGTCAGGATCAATAATATTGCAGATTCTTTGTATTTTATCAAGAATCTCTAAATATATAGCAGGAGCATCAGATGCGACAACAATATTCAAAGCATCAATGAATGGTCCACTTATAAATGTATAATATACATTCTGGTGAGAACACGGTGAACCAACACAGGAAAATCAACTTTCTGAGCAGCAGAACTAGCAATTGATTCAATATAATCTTTTTACTTCATGTTAGCAGAAAACATTAGCCCGAGAAGGCACAAGGCATCACTCTTCTGAAGGTTGGCATCAGCCATACTGACGAAAGGGGAAAAAAGGTTCCATAAGGTGATTAAAAGAAAGCAATTTCATTTTAGAGGCATTAAATTTGGCAGATTTATTGTTTTGTTGTTGTATTGGTTGGTGTTTTGTAATTTAATCAAATTATTATCAGATAAATTTATATTTAAACTTTTACTAGAAATCAATAAATATATAGAAAATTTTTTAAAACTTTTGTGTCTCTTTAACCATATGTGTGTATGTGTGTGTGTGTGTGTGTGTGTGTAACACTCATTTCGGAATTGTTCATGCATAAAACATGTCAAGAAAGAACCACTAATGGAGACTTTTCAGCTGGATAAACATGGGAATTAAGACTTCCAAATGCTGCAGTTTGTTGTTGAGAATGGAAATGGTGAAGGAGATAAAACCTCTAACAATGATAATGAGATCCCTATGGTCCGTGAAAAGATCATTAAGAGCCTCAGGTTTTGTTTACTGCCGTCCACTTACTGATCACAATCGCTGAAGAGATGGGTTGAAACAGCTGAAAGATGATTTATATTCCATTATTACATATGACTCCAATGATATGGACAAACTGTGGTGTGTATACATGTATTTAATCACCAAATTAGCATGGCCACTGCAGGTATATGAAATATCCTTTCAGGACATGTGTGATCATGGTTCTCCACCACTTCCTGTCCATGCAACATTTGATTTTTTACCATCCCTCTTTGTCCCTTCCTGCCACCGTTCTGTTGTTCATTCACACAAACTCATTAGGTAAGTTATTCACTATTACCCTTTATCACACCGTGAATGATCATGGCTCTCCACCACTTCCTATTCCTGCTTTGTTGTACATTCATACAAACTGAAGTAATTTATTCGCTATTACTCTCTATTCCACCATGTGTGATCATGGCTCTCCACCACTTCCTGTCCCTTGTAGTTCTAAGCAACATTTGACTGTTTACTATCCCTCTTTGTCCTTGCTATGCTGTCCATTCACACGTAAGTGACTATAACGAACCCGATTGGAATTGGAACTCGGCTTTTCGATTAACAATCCTGAGCCATTATCCATTACAAAACTCAAACATATAAGCTGATCGCACCTGGTATTTACAAGCGGTCACCGATCTAGGTATTGACCATGCTCGATGTGGCTTAATTTTGGTGATCGTACGGGAACCGCTGTTTCGACGTCATGTGGTCGTAAGCCCTCGCTATAGTGAGGACAGCAAGTGCCTCACTATAGTTGTTAGCCATTCAAAACGAGGTGCATGGACATAATGGGGAAAAATCAAAGAGAGAAATGTTGCATGGATTGACTTCAGTCAGATGGACCCACAGCATTTAAAAAGACAGTATATGACACCTTATCAATATCAGTTAACCTGAAACTGTGGAGATTGTCTAGCATGTTGGAAAACAGCTAGCCTTATACAGATCCTTGTTAGTTGTGGATTTTTTTTACAACTTATACGTGGATATACTGTCAAGTGTTGGAGATTCTGGTAAAGACTAGAAAC